GAGGTTGAAGGACATTTTGTCCATAAACATATTTCTATAATGATGCAATTCTTCTGCTTTTCTTACTCTGTCTTGCCTATTTATCTCAGTACTTTTTAGGTAGCTATGGAACAGAGACCCTATTCTATGGGACAAAGGAGAGGCAGAGACTATAGCAAAAGTGTAGATGTTTTATTGGTTTTTTTTTAATGGTACTACTGTCCCTATGCTTAAAATTTTTAATAACTCAGATTTCATCTATATGTTCTCTTCTACTTGCTTTTAATAACCAATTTCCTTGCTTTTATTTTCCTGGTACCAAGATCCACCTAAAATCCCCAAAAGGAATTATATTAGCTCCTTTGCACATTTAGGCTCTCAAAGGATGCTCACCGTCAAAAGGAACGGACCTTAGACGTCAGTATACATAAGGAAATTTGTGACTACTACAAATAATTCCTACATCTGGCTTGTTATTTTCACTAAGTTTCCATTTCCTTTCAGGTGGTGTCAGTAAGTCTAAATTGAATGAAATGACTGGAAATGTTAAAATGCTACAAAGGGGTAGCAACACTTCTATACCTCCTTCATAGAACACAAAAATTTCCCTTGCTCAATAACAGACTATAAAACAATGACTAAAAACCACATCAATAGTAGAAGTTTCTCTGCGTGTAGAAGATATAATTTATCCACATCGCCTTCCCTATACTAAAAATACAATTAAAAACAAAACTTTCCTATATTAAATTGCCTCATCACCACTCTTCATACATCAAACCTGTCTATCAACACCAGTTTATTGGACCCTGGGTCCTATAGCCTACGTTATTCACCAACCTCCCAGGCTGTTCCCCGCTACTTGCTGGCAGGAAATCTTAGCTACAGAAATGAAATAGGCAAGGGCTAGAAATTATGATTAAGTTTATTGGAAATATGGACTAAATATGGCACTTTAATTAGCATCAGACAGAAGGATGAATTGCTCTCCAGCAAAGCACAAACTGTTGAAGCAATAAAATTTAGAAAACGTGTCTGAGCCATGATTTGCAACGATGATGAGAACATGGACCTTGTTCCTGCTGTGCCAGGAGAGTTAGGGGTGAAAGCGCCATTCTACAGCAAAGCTGCCGCCGGTCAGTGGTAGGAAGAAATATTTTCAAGATTGTATTTCTGGGAAACACTCATCAATACAATAGTAATTCACTCCGCATCTTGTATAGCAATTAACCACTAAGAAGAATATATGCAGTGTATTATTTGTTGAAACTGTACTTCCGATTTGATTTGAAACTGTCTCATTGCTGTTTATCAATAAAACTTTGAAAAGAAAAACAAAAACAAAACAAAACAAAAAAACAACAATAGTAATTCACTTGGAAGTTAATTCAGTGTCCCTCCTACCCCCATCCACAACCCAAAAATACTAGTGCTATTTTAATCAAGTTTCTCAATGGAAAGAAAACCCCCAAACAGTAGTTGGTATATATTTTCTCTCTGATATTCACATATTTTACTTAATTGTATGCTTACATGTTTCAGCTTTTTATGTGTACAGTGTATTTTAGAAATATAATGAACAACACTAAAAAATCACTATTAAGATAAAAGCTAATTCACTCCACTGCCAAATATTGAAGTATCAATTATACATAAGAGTTTATAGAAATTATACTAAACAATAAAAAAGTCAGATATAATGAGTCAATATTGCAAGATTTCAGTTTTAGGAGTGATCTAATAAAAGCAAAAATATACTACTTAAAATTTCATGAGTGCTTTCCTGGAGCCTTAGTGGGAGCAGGAATGGCCTGCAGATGGGTATGACAGGTCTTTTCAAAATACATTTCAAACAGAATCGTGGGCACAGCTACATGAATGAAAACTTTATGAAATATCATTTAACTTATGAAGGGTGAATTCTAATATATATATATATATATAATAGAACCCAGATATATCTTAACTAACAATGCTTCTGTAGAACGAACCATACACTGAGGGTTTCAGGCCAGCTGCACTTAGTGACAATCTCATAGACGAGTAGGGTAGACTAAATGAACTAATGTAAGTACTGTTACAGATGGGAAGACCCAGCCCCCTTACCATGCGAACGGCACGGTGGGACCCACAGCTTGTGTTTTCAACAGTTAAGATACTTTCTCCACTAAACTATTTACTATACAAATAATTTACTTTAGTAATCAAAGACATCATAATGAATAAAAAATGAAAATAAAATGTAGCAGCATATATTGATGCACCTAAAGTGATATATCAAGGGCAGTATTTAGCTATAACTGTTTATATTAAGAAAGAAGAATTAAAATCAGAGGCCAAACTTTCCAACTGAAGACACTATAAAAATGCATAAATTAAACAAATTAAACCTAAAGGTATAGAGGGAAGTAATAAATATCAAGTGAAAATTAAAAAAAGATAGAAAAAAATAGTGAATGAAACCAACTTTTTAAAAGGTCAATTAAAAAGAGCCAACCCTTAGCTGGATAAATGCTACAGGAGAAAACATTCAAACTACAATTAGAACTTAAACAGAGGCCATTACCACTACTAACAACCATATAGCAATAAAAAGACTGCAAAGAAATACTCTGAAAATTCTAGGAGAATACATTAGACAAGCTATATGAATTAAGTTCCTAAAAGTCCTAAAGTACCACAACAGACTAGACGAAAGGCAACCTGACAGATTTGTAGCAAGAATGGCAATCCCATTAGATATCAGAGAACTACGAAAATTTTCAGGCCGACAAAGATTGACGGACTACCTAACATTTAAAGAAAAAGTAATAAAAGTTCTCTATATTCTCCTACAGAATAGAAAAGGAAAGACCACATCCAAATTCATTCTCCAAAGCCACTATGTCCTGATACAAAATATAAAATAGAGATACCACAATAAAATAAAATCAAATTGAGAGATAAGAAAGAAATGCACATCTCAATGTCCATTTGGTTTTCAAATAGAATGTACAGAACATATTTAGTGGAAAAGGAAAAGTTTCTTTAACAAACCATGCTGAAAAACTAAATAGTGAAATGCCAAAAAAAGGAGTTGGAATCTACATTATGCACATATTGTGGGCTGGGGAGATGGCTCAGTAGAATAAGCACTTCCCTGGCAAGCACAAGGGCCTGAGTTCAATCCCTGGTTCCGGGAGGAAAAAAAAAATCTTGTACAAAACCATTCAAAATGGCACAATCACCTAAATTTAAGAGTTAAAATTACAGAAACTTTCAAAGAAAATGTAAAGATAAATCTCTGTGACCTTGTATTATATAATAAGATTCTAAGACATAAGCCACAGAAAACAAATTGGACTTCAACAAAATTTTGTGCTTCAAAAGACAAATCAAGGAAGTGAAAAACAAAACAGAACAGAAGATAACATTCATAAATCATATGATAAAGGTATATAATGGTATAGTAATATATATGTATATATATACACACATATATCTTAAAATTTGATAAACCAAACAACTCACTTAAAAAAGGGACAAAAGTCTTGAGTAGACATTTTTTCAAGATATTCAAATGGCCCTTGAAAAGATACTCTGTATCTTTAGTGATTACCCAGATCCCAAACACACTCAGACACTTCATATCTACTTGGAAAGGTCACACACACCCACACCCCCACACACCCACACACCCACACCCACACCCCCCCCACATACACACAGAGGCAATGAAAACTACGTACTAATAAGACAAAAACCTTATGCACTTCAGGTACAGTATAGATGGGGCAGCAATTTTCCACTCAGGAATATAACTCAAATAATTGAAAACGGGACTCAAAGCAGCTACTTGCACACCAATGTTTATTACAGCATTGCTCTCATGAGCCAAAAGGTAAAAATGATCCAATCATTCATCAACCAAGATGAACTGATAAATACGGCACATGTGTGTGGTATATACATAGAATATTATCTAATTTTTTAAACGAAGTCTTGATATCTGCTGCAAGGTGTAAATGTGCTAAATGAAAGAAGGCAGCCCCAAGCTTATGATTCTTATTACGCGAAATACCCAGAGTAGGTGAATCTACATGGACAGAGAGCAAATTACAGATAAACGGAAGGTTTGTTCTTAGAAAGTGATGTGTGTGATTCTTAAAGCCAAGCCTCCCAAGACTCAAAGAAAAAGGGAAGAAGAACTCAGGTGGAAGAAAAAGCAGGTGAGACCGGCGAGGCTCAGACCTGCAGGACTTCCAGAGGCAGGGTAAGAAGCGTTAACTTGCTTTTTCACAACATCACAATATTCTGTGCAAACCCAAAATCTGAAAGCACAGGACACTTTAAATAAAGATTAAACAGATGCAAGAAGTTTTCAAAGAGCAGCCTACACAGGAGAGACGGGCAATTTGCATTTGAATCCCTCAGGCCAGATGGGTTATTTCTATCAAGAGGTTGTGATGTTTACCACATTCAAATCAGTTAAAGAGAACATTTTCTAAATTTAATTAAGCTCGTTTCCAGGATATGAAACATTAAACTGTTAGCAAAGAACAATTTGACCACCTCTGATTACTGGGTGACAGTCATTAACTGGTTCTCTAACTGAAATCTACGCACTGGACTATTCTCACTCATTACGCTGAGCTGAGACGGCCACCTGTCCAACCCACAAAGCCGGGCACAGAACCAGAAGAGCAGTAAGGGCACAGCTGCAACCGCTGACACAGGATCTCCCGTCACTCTCTAATGACACATGTGGCAACGTTTTCCTGATATACTTATAAGGAAAAGTAACCTATACATTTTACTGTCTAACAGTCACATACCTGCATGCTGGCTCTTTTGTTTGTACCACACAAGGATTCTGTCCAGTCCTAACTCTAACATTGTTACTCAGAAAGGAAAACAACGATTCTAACACAGCTTAGAATAAAGCTGGCCAAATAAGAGTTTCGGAATGCAGGATCATGAAATCCCATAATAGGTAAAGCATATTTCTTTTGAAAAAATCAAGTAGTATTCAACTCGCTTACTGAGGCCTTGAGGCTTCCGCCTGGTCTGTCTGCAGCTTCTGTCCTCCTTCCACCTCCATCGTGCAGTAAACAATTCTATTGGGAGCAACTGACTTCAAGCCTTGAACTTCCATGATGACAATCTGAAGAGAAAAACGATTGAAAAATAGTAAGTCCAGTGGACAACTGCTACCATGCGCAGAAATACCAGCAAGAACACTAGCAAGCAGGAGCCACTGAAATATTCACATGACATTAATGGCACCATTCTTATGCTTTCATAATCTGATTCTATGTAACAGAAGCTACAGTAAAGAACTACTTTTAGGATGTCTAGGTTCTGAGAAAATATCTCCTGAGAGCTACTCAATAAAAGCAGGTTAAAATCCCTGAATATAAATCATGAAATTAAGTGAACACCAGTTCTTAAAAATTAAAGCAGTCTCCATGAAATAAAGCAGAATCACAAATAAAAATTCAGTGAGTATAATGCAATGACACACTGAGATTTTTTTTTTTTTTTTTTATCAGAACCGAGGATTGAACTCAGGCCCTTGCGCTTGCCAGGGAAGCACTTATACCACTGAGCCATCTCCCCGGCTCTGACACATTGAGATTCATGGAGAGATGGTAGTACTTATTATCATAGGCACTGTTACTATAATACAAGTTCACTAGTATGAATATGTGATATCACAAACTTTCTATATTCATCGATTTGAAATGACTATTACTATTTTTATAAAATAATTTTCTCTATGGCCACTATATACCTTAATAATAAAACCATGAAAACTATAATTTTCCTTTGAATGTTTTAGTAATACGTTGCTAAGGAAAAAGTAATGTTTTGGTCCATTAAACATATGTGCTAATTTAATACAAGACACTGAAAAACGACCTAAAAATTCATGGTGCCTTATCTATATAACTCCTGGAGGAAAGTAGGAATGCTGATTTTTTTTTTCAAGCCTGTTTTCCATATTTGCATCAAAGGCTCTCAGCCCTAAAATACTATAAAGTAACAGTTCGAATGGATTTAAAAATAATGCACATTTTCTGTAATTTTGCATAAGAATTTGCATTATGAAATTTTCTAAATCTTATAAAATAGATTCAAAGGTAATTTATATACGTAAACTAACTTCATTGTTGATATCATGGTGTGTGATAGAAATGAAATCTTGATATCTGCTACAAGATGTGAATGTGCTAAATAAAAGAAAGCAGCCCTAAGATCTTATGGTTGTCTTTACATGAAATACCCAGTAGGCAAATCTACCTTATTAGCGTCACTAGACTACATGGAATTCCAATAGGATTCCTGACCCTAAAGGTATGAAAGGGAAAAAAAGTCCCCTTAAATTGTTTACAATTCAAATTTATTGCAAAGAGAAGGATTCATGTTTGAAAATCCAAAGATGTATTTTGTTTCATTTTCATCAAATCTACTGAAAATTAATTACTAAAAATGCAAAAGTTCAAACTCAGAATGTGTCTCCTTCCTCACCTAGGGCTGTGGGGTTTTGTCACAGTGACACACACACTGACAAATATCAGGACTCAGTCAGCATCCTGGCTCTAATCCCACCACTCACAGGTTGAGCTGCATCCTAGGTAACTCAGTAGGACTCAGTCATTTTAGAAAAATAGAAATTTTAAAATGCAGGAATGGGGAAGCTAGAGATGTAGCCTGTGGTTCAGACTGATGGCCCTGGCTCAGTTCTATTAAATAACTCAATACACATACACACACACACACACACACACACACACACACACACACACAGTGAAAGCAAACTAAGAGAAGCTGCTCTAGTGCTCAGGGAAATTGGGATGAAGCACTATTAATTGATTAAGGAAGGAAAATGAAGTTATTAGGCAATTTTAATGACTCCAGATTCTTGTTAGTAATGCTGAAATTGGTTACTTTTAGTAAAACCAGAAACTGAGACAAAAAATAATATTGTGTCTTGCCCGCCCCACCCCCAAGGTGCACTGAGACCACAATTGTGACAGGGCATGGTGGTGCAAGCCTGTAATCCATCTTTTGGGAGGCTGAACACAGGTGGATCACTACGAGTCTGGTCTACATAGTGAGACCCTGTAGACCCTATGCTAAACCTACACACACAAAAATAAATAAATAAAAAAGTTTTAAAAAATAACATCAATTTAAAGCCAGTTTAATAAGTTTCCCAACAAATAATAAAGGTTTTCGATGGTCACTAATTAATATTTTCTTTTTAAGAGAGGGTTTCTCTATGCAGCTTAGACTGGCCCTGGACTCACTTTGTAATCTAGTCTGGCCTTGAACTTGCAGCAATCCTCCTGCCTGTACCTTCTGAGTGCTGGGATTATAGGCATGAGCTGCCATATCCAGCTTAATGGCTACTTGATACATGTAAAACAACAGAACTGTGTACCACAAGGCAGGTTTGCAAACCTTCACAGCACTGGCTCATGTTTCAAAGCATTGTTACACAGCACCACTTCTGCAGTGTATTTAGTAGCCAAAGAACAGAAGAGGTGAAAATAAATGTCTGCTTGACATTACTTCTGCCACCTCTACTAGAAGCTATTTTAAGTAGGACTTCTTAAAATATACAAGAAATGGCATTCTGCAGCTCAAGACAATATTGCTATTTGTACCAGGTTTTATCCTGCAAAACTGTCACTTTAAAAAAATT